CTTTTTCGAACTCTGTTGATGATTACACAAGCAGTCAGGGGTATAAACGTGAATTCAAAGGATCGTCGCATTTGGTTTGTGAGGCTCAACGGTTTTGAGGCTGGTTTCACAAACGACTGACCCGAATCACCCCACACTCTTGCGTTAGGGAGGGACAGGGAGGGCCACTTCTTTGAGTGACTGGAAAAGAAACAGTTTCCCATCCCACCACTACCACTTGAAGAGTGAACTCAACGGTGATTCCCAAAAAAAATCAAAACATCAATGGCAAACGTTTCAAATAAAATAAAACTAGAAGTTGAACTTGGAGTGGAAGTTGAACCAAGGTTTGACAAAAGAGGAAGGGCACAGTGGAGAGCAAGGCGGAGGTAACAAAGGTAAAGCATGGAACCGGAGACTGAGCAAGAATAGCTGAGGAAACTGACTGAGAACCGTACGCTTCAAACACAGGTTTTGCGCAAAGGAGATAAGACAGTTTTGTCTACTACGTAGAAAGGCACCGTCTTACTCCTTTCGGTTCTCAGCTGAACCCAAGCGGAGAGGACCCGCAGAAAGCCCAAAAGAAAAAGAAAACAAAACGTCTTAAGCGGGCGTTAGCTTGATCGCGTAATGAAAAAAAAATTCAACATGGAAAACGGTGAACAGCTGACACGACCGACGCAACTGGCGCACCTTTAACTTCCACTCCAAGTTCAACTTCTAGTTTTATTTTTTTTGAAACGTTTGTCATTGATGTTTTGATTTTTTTTTTGGAATCACCGCTGAGTTCGCGCCTTCCCGTGGTAGTGGTGGGATGGGAAACTGTTTCTTTTCCAGTCACTCAAAGAAGTGGCCCTCCCTGTCCCTCCCTAACACAAAATTGTGGGGTGATTCAGGTCAGCCGTTTGTGAAACCAGCCTCAAAACCGTTGAGCCTCACAAACCAAATGCGACGATCCTTTGAATTCACGTTTATACCCCTGACTGCTTGTGCAATCATCAACAGAGTTCGAAAAAGAACCAAGGTTTGACAAAAGAGGAAGGGCACAGTGGAGAGCAAGGCGGAGGTAACAAAGGTAAAGCGTGGAGCCGGAGACTGAGCAAGAATAGCTGAGGAAACTGACTGAGAACCGTACGCTTCAAACACAGGTTTTGCGCAAAGGAGATAAGACAGTCTTGTCTACTACGTAGAAAGGCACGTTCTTTCATTGTCGGCTTTCCGCCCTCTCCCTTCATGCAAATCCCCGTATTATTCCTAACACTACTGGCATCTTTTCATTTCTTGCTCCCCCCCCACACCCGGCTCTCTCCTCCCTGCCGACGCCCCACCCCTCCCCATTACCTCACGTACTTCCTCTCCCACCTTATTCTAACCCCTGCCGTCCCTTGTCGCCCGACCCCACCCCATCTACCCCCTCTCCCCCCAAGCACACCCTTCTCTTTCCCCCCCCCCCCACCCCCCCTCACCTTGCCCCTCCTCTCTCTACTCCCCCCTCCACCAACTTTCCTCCCCCTCCCCCCCTCACCCTACAAATCCCCCCCTAGTCTCCGTCCCGCCCCCTTACTCCTTTCGGTTCTCAGCTGAACCCAAGCGGAGAGGACCCGCAGAAAGCCCAAAAGAAAAAGAAAACAAAACGTCTTAAGCGGGCGTTAGCTTGATCGCGTAATGAAAAAAAATTCAACATGGAAAACGGTGAACAGCTGACACGACCGACACAACTGGCGCACCCTTCTTTTTCGAACTCTGTTGATGATTGCACAAGCAGTCAGGGGTATAAACGTGAATTCAAAGGATCGTCGCGTTTGGTTTGTGAGGCTCAACGGTTTTGAGGCTGGTTTCACAAACGACTGACCCGAATCACCCCGCACTCTTGTGTTAGGGAGGGACAGGGAGGGCCACTTCTTTGAGTGACTGGAAAAGAAACAGTTTCCCATCCCACCACTACCACTTGAAGAGTGAACTCAACGGTGATTCCAAAAAAAATCAAAACATCAATGACAAACGTTTCAAATAAAATAAAACTAGAAGTTGAACTTGGAGTGGAAGTTGAACCAAGGTTTGACAAAAGAGGAAGGGCACAGTGGAGAGCAAGGCGGAGGTAACAAAGGTAAAGCATGGAACCGGAGACTGAGCAAGAATAGCTGAGGAAACTGACTGAGAACCATACGCTTCAAACACAGGTTTTGCGCAAAGGAGATAAGACAGTTCTGTCTACTACGTAGAAAGGCACCGTCTTACTCCTTTCGGTTCTCAGCTGAACCCAAGCGGAGAGGACCCGCAGAAAGCCCAAAAGAAAAAGAAAACAAAACGTCTTAAGCGGGCGTTAGCTTGATCGCGTAATGAAAAATTTTCATCATGGAAAACGGTGAACAGCTGACACGACCGACACAACTGGCGCACCTTTCTTTTTCGAACTCTGTTGATGATTGCGCAAGCAGTCAGGGGTATAAACGTGAATTCAAAGGATCGTCGCATTTGGTTTGTGAGGCTCAACGGTTTTGAGGCTGGTTTCACAAACGACTGATCCGAATCACCCCACACTCTTGTGTTAGGGAGGGACAGGGAGGGCCACTTCTTTGAGTGACTGGAAAAGAAACAGTTTCCCATCCCACCACTACCACTTGAAGAGTGAACTCAATGGTGATTCCAAAAAAAATTCAAAACATCAATGACAAACGTTTCAAATAAAATAAAACTAGAAGTTGAACTTGGAGTGGAAGTTGAACCAAGGTTTGACAAAAGAGGAAGGGCACAGTGGAGAGCAAGGCGGAGGTAACGAAGGTAAAGCATGGAACCGGAGGCTGAGCAAGAATAGCTGAGGAAACTGACTGAGAACCGTACGCTTCAAACACAGGTTTTGCGCAAAGGAGATAAGACAGTCTTGTCTACTACGTAGAAAGGCACCGTCTTACTCCTTTCGGTTCTCAGCTGAACCCAAGCGGAGAGGACCCGCAGAAAGCCCAAAAGAAAAAGAAAACAAAACGTCTTAAGCGGGCGTTAGCTTGATCGCGTAATGAAAAATTTTCAACATGGAAAACGGTGAACAGCTGACACGACCGACACAACTGGCGAACCTTTCTTTTTCGAACTCTGTTGATGATTGCGCAAGCAGTCAGGGGTATAAACGTGAATTCAAAGGATCGTCGCATTTGGTTTGTGAGGCTCAACGGTTTTGAGGCTGGTTTCACAAACGACTGACCCGAATCACCCCTTCCAAAAGTCAGGCGCTTGGTGCAGTGTTTCAGAGGCAAAGAGGTGTTTGGCACGGTTGAGAATAGTGTTGAGTAGCAGACGGTCCACCAGCCGTTCGGGAGCGGCGAAATCCTCAACAACGTCTCCCTTGATCATGTCAGCTGCCACTCGGAATTCACCACAGGACGGCAGGTCCGCTATGTTGCTTGAAGAAGCCACACGCTCTACCCAGCAAACAACACCACCGGTTTCCCCAAATAGGTGGAACTCCTGGATCATAGAAAACAAACCAAAAGAATCCGAAACCGCCTTGATGAGGCCATAGCGACAAGCTTCATTGTCGATCCAAAATATTGTCCTCCGTCTCGGAAAATGGCGACCAACATACTTCATAGATTTCTAGGGTACCCCCCCAAAGCCCCCCCCCCCCAGAAAAAAACAGGATTTTAGCCAAAAAGGAAATAAGACAGGAATAAGCTTAATTTCGTGCAAAACAACGGCAACCTTATTCCAGCCTTAATTCAGATTTGCAATAAACCCGTTAAGGCTGAAATAAGGCTTATTCCTGTATTATTTCTCTTCCATGCCCAAAACTGTTGTGAACGTGATTTTTTCCCGCAGGTTCCTGCCTTATTCCTGTGTTATTCCTGTACTATTTCTTTTTGGGTTAATTTTCCCAATTGTTTGAAAACAGATTCAAATTCAAATTGCTGTAGAGATGTAGTTTAATATCGTTTTATAGTTCACATGAGTCTGTGTGGATTGGGTCCGCTAAAAGGAGAACGGTGCTGCCGGAGGGGGGGCAGGGCGAGCACAAAAAAACACGGGATGGCCAATGGGAAAATGTAAAGGTTCTGCTGCAGATCCCGCTGTTTTCTTAACCCTGGTTCAGCCGGCGTAACGCACTGGTGTTGTGAGCCGTGATGCCTTTGGGGATGCTTGTATGTTCACGCGTTGTTGCTTCGTGTGCGCATTGCTTTCGTGCACCCCGCGTTCCGCACCCGACGTTGTGCGTACGGAATATATGCCAGATTGCTTCTGTGTGCCAAACACACACACTAAACTGAGCAAGGGAAATAAAACAAAATTTCCTTCGAAAGGGGTCCTCAAGGTGAAAGGGGTCCTGGCCTAGAAGCCTCCAAGATTAATTTCGACCGAGTTTTTGCCTTTGTACGAAAAACTCGGTCGAAATTAATCTTGGGGGCTTCGCGCGCATAAGGAACATTCTTGGCCAGGACCTCTTTCACCTTGGGGACCCCTTTCAAAGGAAATCTTGTTATAAGCTTCTTATGTCCCTTTTGTGAGATCGACCGTATTTTTCAAAGCAACAATTTATGTGACTGTTTTGGTGCATCAACCTTCTCTCTAACCTGGGCAAATCTCCTGGCGATTTCTATTTGAGGAATTGCACTATTGGTTGAATCCCCGTTAAGGCTGAAATAAGGCTTATTCCTGTATTATTTCTCTTCCATGCCCAAAACTGTTGTGAACGTGATTTTTCCCGCAGGTTTCTGCCTTATTCCTGTGTTATTCCTGTACTATTTCTTTTTTGGTTAATTTTCCCAATTGTTTGAAAACAGATTCAAATTCAAATTGCTGTAGAGATGTCGTTTTATATCTAACCTGAGCAAATCTCCCGGCGATTTCTATTTGAGGAATTGCACTAGTGGTTGAATCTTCAAAGTGAGACAAATGTCCTTGGATGACTCACATGGGCAATAAACTTTGGGAAACTTGACATGTGAGTCTTGTTTATTTCTGGAGTACGCGATTCATGAATGTATATTTTTGTTTTTTCGTCTCAAGATTTCCCTGTTCCACTCCATGCGATGGCACTGGAGCCCATCCAAGATGGGCGGGACTCCAAATGGCAAAAGAATTGTGTGCTACGTGTGGGTGGAGTCGAGGTGACAGTTTACACATCAAATGTCCGCCAAAGTGAGTGTGCACTAGCAGATGCTCTGGCTATTTTCAACTGCTCCAGCAGCACCAAAAAGAGATTTGAGAGGTTCAAGACTTGGCTACCTTTTATTAAGGAATACCACAGTCGAATGTGGCCAGGTGTGGATTTTTGTTTACTGCAAACCAAATTTTCCGAAAATAGCGGTCAAAGAGAACAAGACACCTGGCTAGCACGGCGAACCGTGTCTACATCTGTTTTGTTTGCCACGGTGGCTTACATGTACAACTTTTTGCGCAGAAAATTGGTTGACCGTGCTCGCGCACATGCGGGCGTGGTGCAACTGCTGGGCCTACTGGTTGCGAGCATTGGCAAGTTCAAAGTCGAACACGTCAAATGTGGACAGTCTGGGGATCATGTGGAAGTGTTCCAACTGATGACAGATCACCAAGGTCGGGTTTGCATCACAAGCTTTTTTGACCGGCATTTCTGGGAAGAGCATGCAAAAAAAGAATGGAAGAAGGATTTGCAAAACCATGCTAAAACCTGGGCCACCGTAAACCTGGCATTCAATGACCATTGCTACATTTCGCTGGTAGATCTGTTGGCGTTTTTGCTTGATCCTGACCATTCTGAACAGTTTAGCGACTGTGCGGTACCTTGTGCCCTTGGAGTCCTCACGGAATTTGCATTTGTGGTGGACACAAATTTGGAGGCCATGTGCCGGGAAATAACTTCTATCAACGCAGGAACAAAACGGAAACGAGTTTCATCAGATGTCTTTCAGTTCTATGTGGAGCAGATTGCAAACAAGGCTTGGTTTGGGAAGGTTCCTTGTCAATGAGTTTTTGAATTTGACTTTCAATTCATATTAGTGACAAAACCCAATCAAAGCCCAATTGTTTTTATCTTATTCCATCCTTATTGCAGCCTTATTGCAGCCTTATTTCTTATTCCACTCTTATTACAGCCTTAATGCTTTCACTTTTGGTTTCACACCTCTGTTTTGCACCGGCGTCGATCAGAGGCTATGTTTCTCCGTACGGAGATCAACAAGGTGTGTCCCAATGCTTCACCAACTGGAATAGCTCAATCAGCTATGGCAGGGGCCTTGTGTCAGTTCGGGAGGGCAAAGTACTTTGGGAATTGTTTTAACCACATTACATCGTACTTTAATGTACTTTAGGGGGTGCATGGCGGCTGTAGCTGGGTAATATCCACATTATGCCACACTTGAACATGAATTTGCCCAGTTCTATATGGATTGCAAACCACTTACGTCCATGGCAAATACAAGAAGCGAAACATTGCAATCCTTCTGGGGTGTTGAGTTTTGAAGTGCAAGGATGATTGCAAGGGACTTCTGGTAGCTGAGAAAGGACAAGAGGGAAACAGACATGAACACAGTGAAACTGGGAGGAGTTTTTCGGACCCCTTTGACTTTTGGGAACCCCTTTGACAAGGTACTAGGGTTTCACATGCCGTAGTCCCACAACTTCAGCCGTCCACGGCTGAGTTCATCTATTGGGCGACGGCGATGGCTTTTTTCCGCGGCTGTCGAGTGTTTCACGTGCCCCATTGCAGCCGACGCGGCTGTTACTGTTGAAACAACCGGTACCCCGACCATGGAATCATTGGAATTGAAGTTCATTATTTTTTCCTACTGAAAATTTATTTGGATTTCAGTGTCCAATTACCTGTCTGATTTTTTGTCCAGGTATACACAGACGGATCGTCTGTTGCCAAGAAACCCTTGGAACTGATGTGGGTCTTCAGCCCGGAGAAAGGGAAAGGGGTCTATGCCCCTCCCATTGCCGGGGGCCTCAATTCAATAGCACAGGAAACCCTTCAATTCAGAAACTTCAGATTCAAAGGTCTGGTAATGCAGGTTGCGTTTCAGAAATAGGACCTGAAATGAAATAATGCCGAAATAAGCATGGAATAAGGGTGAAATAAGAATAAAACCACAATATATTGAAAGAATGATCCATTTTCAGAGACAGTGTCAACCAGCATCGAATTCACTGTTCTGGGTCAAACAAGAAGTGGGCTCCGAACGGCAGTCAGGGAATCAGAAACTAGTCTCAAATTATGTATTAATTGCGCCAAGTAACTGCAGGTTACTGCCACTGCACCAATGACTACGGTTAGTATTGCAACTTTTTCGCCTGCTGTCAGTGTAATGACAGAGCCATGGAGGGGCAGCAGCGTCTCAGTCTCTGGAGTCTCCACCTACACAGACTCGGATTCAGAGGCTCCGCCGTGGACCAGGTCATCATCTTCGACAATGAGTCAAACCCCCATGGATGAGTTTGGGAAGCACAAAAAGCATTTTTCCATGATTTTGCAGGGGTTCAAAGTTATACTTTTTATGTTGAAATTAAGCCGTTTGCTTTGGGTTTGTTCGGCCCAGCTTCCAGTGCAGTCCCCCAAGGACATGTTGTCCGAGTCCATGTTGACACGAGCTGCAAGATTTGCTCAGCTGTGCTGGAGGGTTCTACTTCGGGAGATTGGGGCAAAGACGTTGCAGGAGAATTTTGATTAATTAATTAATGTTTGCATTTTCGATTCCCTTGGAGTCCCTCGCTTTTATAGTGGCCGGTCTAGGTTTCTTGATTATTGAACCTCTCAAATGATATCGGATATCTGACCTGACAACGATTTTTGCCCCTGCAATCCCGGGCGTGAACTGGCAGGAGTCAATGCTCACCCAAGTCAGAACCACATCTTCAGCCTGCAGCGGATCATTCAGTGCTGAGATGGGCCAGGCCCTGATTCAGCGAACAGTCAACATGTCAGAGAAGTTGGACCGGCAGGTTTCTTTCACGTGCGTCCGAACGCATGAATCTTGTTTGAAAGAAAACAAATTATGGAACTTCAAAACTCCATCAATTTTACCTGTGTTTCCCCTATCCTCCTACATTATGTGAAAGATGGGAATAGAAGAGCAATTACCATATTTCTGCATGGCATGATCCCTCATTCCTACCTCATTCTTACCTTATTCCTACCTTTATTCATACCTTATTCCTACCTTATTCCAACCTTATTCCAACCTTATTCCTACCTTATTCCAACCTTATTCCTACCTTATCCCTACCTTATTCATTATTCCAACCTTATTCCTACATTATTCCAATCTTGATTATTCCTACCTTATTCCAACCTTATTCCTTGCTTATTGATGGATATTGTCCTCGTGTATCCAATCCAGTCCGGCACCATTTAATCTGTTGTTCTTGCAGAATTTTCTGCACTCAGAATTACTCTTTTGCAGGGCATGAAAGAAAATCAAAGGAACAATGACAATGTCCATATTTGTGTGACTGATTCCGTATTACTACCTTGTTGCACCCTTATCTCTGCATTATTTCTTTTTTTCTCGGGAAACGGTGTGTAGGATTGCCTTTCCCTTGATGGGACTATATTTCATGTACATTTGGGGGAAATGAGCTTGTTCCTTATAGTTGCCACAGAGTTTGGCTCCCCAATGCCGCTCAATTCAGGAAATCAACAAGAGCTGCCGTCAGTTGATCCGCGATCATGTGAACTGGTGTGCACAGGTGACAGACGTGCATCATTCAGTACCTTGCATCCATGGGGACATCACGAATATCATGCCTAAAGGAAGCTTTGACCCATCCGCCTGTTTCAAGACCAAGATGAAGCAAATTGAACAAGCGAAACTTTGCAGGGGCCAGTTTTGTTTCACACACAACCAATCCTGTCCAGTCTTTGGCCAAGAAGCTGCAGAAAGCGACTTTGATATGAGCGGATTGCCATGTCCAGACATGTCGCGTGCTGGAAAGGGCCTAAGAGAGGAAGGTCCGACGGCACCTGTTTTTGGAGCACATGCGAAAATGCATATCCAAAACCAAACCCGAATGATCGTTTTGGAGAATGTGCCGGACTGGTTTGCCAAAAAACGTACTTGTTACAGTATAATGGTTCAGACCAACCCAATCGTATTTATTTTCAATGTTTGTGTAGAAAAAATGAAATCAACTTTTCATGCTCGCCCTTGCGGCTGTATGAGTTCACGGCCTTGCCAGGACTTGTCGCTTCATATGATTTGGGCCCTTTACTCCCGGCACTACAACATCAGGATCCTGCGGGTCTGCCCTGCGGACCTCGGCCATTTTGGTGTGGCAAGGGACCGCATCTATCTCATCATGTCCTTGAAAGAGGCTGTGATTGAAGTTGTAGATCCTATTCAGATGTACGCAAAGGTGAAGGAATATGTCCAGAGCTTTGTCAGAACAGAGCCCAAGGACTGTGTAGAAACAATCACATTAAACATGCCATTGTTTTCAACACGGTAGTCTTCTGTTGAAAAAGGGTGAAATATTCTTTGGGGATTGGGCCAGGGTTGTCAGACATTTCCTTTCAGGACTATTGGGTGTCCACAACAGCTGAATACGTGAAGGAGGCAGAAAAGACTGCAAAGACCCGCAAAATCCCTTTGCAGGGTGTGGCTTGCCTTCAAAAAACTACTGTCTCACATTGCCCCCAAAAGTTTTGGATCAGAAATAGTGCAGAAATAAGGCATGAATAAGAGGTGAACCATAATCTGAGGATTCGATTTCATGTGTCAATGTGGCAACTCAACGAAATGATGGATCAGGTGCCAGCGGGACAACCGTGATCTTAAAGATGGGGTGGCTCCGTCCCAGAACCCCTTAATACTACCTTAAAGCCACCTTATTGCAGTGCTATTTCCCCTGGCGCCCTTGAACTAACCATATTAGACAGAGAAAATGATGCCATGAACGGATTTTTGGGTACCTTTAGTTAGGTTAAGTGCGTGATGACCCTCGTTTAATGCTATTGCCCTTTCATTCACTCGCAACCCTAATTTCATCCTGCTGCGATATTAAGGTAAGCCCTTCCCACTATGGGGCACAGAGAGCTGAAAGGCGCAGGGGCCGTGCCTCGAAACCCTACTCCATGGCGTATTTACTGAATGAGATTCTCAGTTCAGTTTTCAAGCTATTTTTGTAACAACCGCTTTTTTCGAGTCTTTTGTGTAAACCTAATTGATACAGTGAATCATTCCAGATTTTCGGTCCGTTTCAATTCAATCATCCATTTGACGGCTTTTTTCTTTTAAGTCGTGTCCAAAAGAATAAAAGAATACATTTCTCACATGAGTAAAAGTCGTGCCGCCTGAGGCGGGAGCGGGAGTCTGTGTCCTATGTTTGCGATCTCTACGCGCACAAATTTGGAAAGAACCCTCAGGCAGACAGCAACCTGATTGTCAATTTGTCCGACAATCCGAAGAAGCGCCTGTCATGGAGTGGAACTTCTGGTTCCTTACCCACTTTTAGGACCAACAGCAACCGTTTCTACAGCATTGCGCGGGAACAGTGGATGACGCCGCGTGACCGATTGTCGGCACTGGGTCTACCTGTAACCCCCGAAGCTTCCCTGTCAATGGGGGTGCCGATGTTGCCTGTGCCTCAATGAAATTTCAACGAACTTTAGCTTTCAAACCCCGTCCCGCTAGATTTTGGCATTTTTTTGTTTTTTTTAGAATTCAAGGATCACGCCAACTCCAATTAATAATGCCATCCAATCGAGGGAACGTAGGCATGTTTCTCCAGTGCGTCCCTCAAGCCACCCCCCGACAGCCCTGGTCAACTGTCCTGGTCAGCAAAGGTGGCCGATGACTTGAGGGCTTCCTCGGTGGCCGGGAACAGCTTCCATTTTGGAAATGCCACCACGGTACAATTTGTGGCATTGTCCTGCTACAAAATAATTCGGTGAATCTGAAGTAGATTTGATGACCAGGTTTCACTAAAGACTTCACACACAGTTGCACTAGCAACTGGACAGACAATGTTTTTGCTCCAGGCCCTGGTTTGCACAGTTCCAGAGACTCAGGGGCTTGACTAATTTGCAAGCAATCGAAACGTCTGAGAAAAATACTCCCACCCACAATGTCCTATTGCAGCCTTATTTCCAGAGTTTTTTTTCAGGTTTTACCTTGTCAAACTCAAACTGTCTGTGCTTGGACTAGATTGCCCTTTGTTCCTGCACGTGCGGGTGTTGAAAGGTGAAACTTGATGCATTTCATGGGATTCATGTAGGATCAAGCACAATTTTTTCCCGCGACGTTCGGCAGCACATTGACAATGGGTGCCCGCGGGCGGGGGAAGGGTAATACAGGCCCAGGCCGTTGTGCCCAGAAGAGACCGGCAGCACGGGCACCTGCACGGTCTCCCCCCTCTCGGGACGTAGATGAAGAAAGGGTGAGAGAGAAGGACCAAGTTTTAAACATGTTGTTATTGGGGTCTCAAGTCTCGCATCTCGAAAATCATAATCAATCATTTTTGGTTCAAACCCGCAGCAGTTGTTGTTTTGCCAATTGCTTTTGCCACATTATTGAACCCAAAGTCTAAATTTCTCCTCATTCTTTTACTTGTTCTCCATCAATCTAGAGATCCAGTGGCTCCGCTAGCAGCTTGGCAGGACAAGCCTGAGGAGACAGGGCACTTCTCGCCCGATGAGAAGGACATCTTTAGCTGGAGTGACAAGGATTCAGGTGACGACGAGCGTGGTGGAGACACTGACGCGAAGGACGACGGTGGTTCTTCTGATTCGGGCATGCTCCTTTGACACCAGATCAAAGGATGAATAATTCATCATGTCTAATTCAGCCTTCATTACCGACACCAAACCCGGTTCAGATTCAGGGACTTAGCCCCGAGCAAATTTATTTTGAACTGGATCTGAATTAGTGCAGAATTAAGAGGTGAATCCGAAGAATTGAATGGTTCTCCAACTGCCTCATTACCACCCTATTTCAGAACAATGTGTTCCACTGCGTCCTTTCACTGTATCACCCCTTTTTTTCATTCTGATTGCTAGCCAAAAACTTCTACTATCCCTTATTACGCCCTTATTCCAGCTTTATTTCCTTTGCATTGTTGACAGGCACACAGTCCGGACAACTTAGTATTCCAATACTGTTTTAAATTGTGCTTTCCACAGATATTATATCACGGAGGTCAAGACTAGACTGGTTCGGGTTCCCCCTGTTCCTTGTGGACCTTCGCCCGTGTTTTGGGGATCCGATCCAGAATCCAAGGTTCCAAGGTGGTCACTACGGGAACAAAGTCACCAGGAGACCCTCAGGGACGCCTGGCGCCGAGATCTTGAGCTCAGCAGGAGGGAATCGCCGATCCAAAAAACAAGAGTATAAGAATCAAGTCTACATTCGAGACTTTGTTGTACCTTGGATTTGAAATATCAGGGTACCCATTCGGAGGGGATGCCCATGTGCCCTTCAATTCAAATGTACTGTATTTAGTTTATCTTCTATAAATAGAAATTCCGAATTCCTGGCCAAAAATGAAGGCCACAAATTCTCTACGATCAGGGCCTTTATTCAAGACCACTCAAACAGAATCATTACAAATTGTAAAGGAAATAGTTCCGCAATATTTTGAAGGAGATTCTTGCCCTGCTGCACCCCTTTGCCAATTGAGGGTACAACCGGATCTGGGGGCAACAGAAAATCCACCGCCCGGTAAGGTGTCTCACGTGACGGACTGGATGCATTTCGCCGACCCCACCTTTTTGAATCGTGATAGATTCACCGGCGTCTCTCGCACGACGGTTCTTGGGTCGCTGCTCTTTTGCAGCGGGCTTCAACCGTCCGACCTCAAGCCAGGGACGCTTGAAGACTTGGGTGATTTTTGATTTTGGCCCAGCATCTGGGGGAATAGAAAGAAATAAGCATGGAATAAAGAATCACATAATTCTGGCATAGCTGGGGAACGGCTCAGCATATGGGGGAGGTAAAAAGAAATAAGCATGGAATTGAGAATCAACAATTGAAAAACATGGGAAACAAATGAAATGGCTGCACACAGCATGCCACCAGGGCAATGTGCTCTGTTTTTGGCAAAATGTCAAACTTGGACATTTTGACTTTAAAAATGTGCTTTTCTCTCATCCCGCCAGATAGCTCTCATTCCGCGAGATAGCTCCGCACTCGCTGGTGCTTTAGCGAGCCCACTGTCCCCGGATCCGCAAAACGTTGGAAAAACACGGAGCTTTTCTGCCTTTTGGATCTTTTTGCATTTGGCGCGCTTTGATCTTGTTTCTACTTACTTGCTCTTCTCGGGCTCTTCACTCGATCTTAATCTTCCTCCTCTAACCGTCTGTGGGACATGCAATTGACCAAGGAAGAACTTCTCAGAGGTGGCCGATGTTATCAAGTCCCGGTACGAGCTTCGGGGCCGCCCGGCGGCCTATACCGGCTGGTCGCCTTCCGAGATGAGAAAATATGCTGCATGGCAGCTCGAAGAACTTGCGTGCAAGCGACTTCGCAAGTCCCAGCTAGGTGGTTCGTCATGGGATCTGCCGAAGAGGCCAGCAGACGGCAGGCCTTCACCGTTTCCCAAGGAAATGATTTACCACCGCCGACACTCGGAGCCTATGGAAAATTCAAGCGAAACTTGGCCTGTGGCTAAACAGCTCAGGGTCCAAGGCATTAATAAATATACAATGAATTGGGCAAATATTGCACATTTTTGCCAGAAATAAGCCCGAAATAAAGAGAAATAAGCTAGAATTAAGGGAAATAAGGTAGAAATAAGCCAGACACTAGAACGTATGGTAAGGCAGAAACAAGCCAGAAATAAGGTAGAAATAAGCCAGCATTAAGGGAAATAATGTAGAAATACACCAGAAACTTGAACGTATGGTACATTGGCATACTTTTGTTGTCGTGGGTCACCACAAATTATTACGAACTCTGAATAGAAATTGTTGGCGATTACCTGCGCATGTTACACAGTTGAACCCTATTTCCACATAATTGCAGGGAAACCGGAAAGCAACCATTCACAATCAACTTCAGAATTCAATTTGAATCTGATGTCATTTATCATTCAATTTACCACGTGGGGTTTCACAGCTAACCCCTTGAGAAAAAGACACCCGAAGTATCAAATATGATTTCTCGACCCCAGGCCCTGACACTGAATTCTGAAAGCCTTTCAGGAATCCGAGGGACAGCCTCCTCTGAGCATGCGATCGGTTTCTCCTCGACGTCGCCAAGCCCTTGCAGCACGAAAGCAAACGGAGAAAAAACAGGACTTTGTCCTAACACAATCTTGGAAGCTCCCTACTGTAATCTTGGCAGCGTCTGAGGTCAGAAAAGTCTTTCAAGATTATATCGGTGACGATGACACAAACCAGTTTAGCCATTAATTTCATTCCATGTGGCCCTTAGTGGTATTCGAAGGGAACGTATTTTTTGTGGGGCTGCCGCTCCGGAAATAAGCCAGAAATAACACAGCAATAAGGGGCATACCTGGTGGCAAACTGCCACAGAGACGTAAACATGGGTAAATTGAATTCGTTATTTCCCATCTTCTGTAGAAATATTTCTGGGTCTGCCCTCCCAGAAATAATTAATTCAGAAACAATGCTGCAATAACAAACGGGTACGGACTTGATAGTAAATGGACTAAGGTGTTTGGGTTGGGTCATTGTCGGCGATGGGAAACGGCAATTTCTGGAAAGGGTAGTGTTCACCCATGGGTCAAATGTGGTAAATTCACTGATTAAATAGGGTTCGCGACAGACAGGCAGTCAGCCTCCTGCCACCTCACAGCTTGCAGGACAGAGGACGATCGCATGGTTCCCGATCTCCAGTTCGCAAAGCCGCGAAGGCCAAGGTGCCTTGCATGATGGACCCGTTTTTTAATTCAAAAATTCAAATTTTGAATCAAACAAATCTAAGGGAATTTCATCTTTTAGGATAGCACAAATCGGTTTAGCCATTAATTTCTTTCCATGTGGCCCTTAATAGTATATATTCGAGGGAACAGATTTTTCTGGGGCCGCTTTTAGGAAAAAAGCCAGAAATAAGACAGCAATAAGGGGCAGACCTGATGGTAAACCCCCACCAAGAGGTAAACGTGGGTAAATTGGTTTCCCATCGTCTGTAGAGATATCATGTTTTCTTGGATCTGCCCCTCCAGAAATACTGCAGAAAAATACTGCAATAACAAACGGGTACGGACTTGATGGGTTATTCCCGAGAGCGCCTGCGAAGGGTTCTTCGTAAAAAAGCAGCCGTTATACTACATCTTCACACCTTCACATCTGCTGATCTACATCTTCACACCTTCACACCTGCAGATCTAGATCTTCACACCTTCACACCTGCAGATCTAGATCTTCACACCTTCACACCTGCAGATCTAGATCTTCACACCCTCACATCTGCAGATCTAGATCTTCACAGCTTCACATCTGCAGATCTAGATCTTCACACCCTCACATCTGCAGATCTACATCTTCACACCCTCACATCTGCAGATCTAGATCTTCACACCCTCACACCTGCAGATCTAGATCTTCACACCCTCACACCTGCAGATCTAGATCTTCACACCTTCACATCTGCTGATCTACATCTTCACACCTTCACACCTGCAGATCTAGATCTTCACATCCTCACATCTGCAGATCTTCATACCTTCACACCTGCAGATCTAGATCTTCACCCTCACACCTGCAGATCTAGATCTTCACACCCTCACATCTGCAGATCTACATCTTCACACCCTCACATCTGCAGATCTTCATACCTTCACACCTGCAGATCTAGATCTTCACACCCTCACACCTGCAGATCTAGATCTTCACACCCTCACATCTGCAGATCTAGATCTTCACACCTTCACATCTGCAGATCTAGATCTTCACGCCCTCACACCTGCAGATCTAGATCTTCACACCCTCAC